ACTTAGCAACGGGCGCCAGCAGGAAAATGTTGGCTTAAAAGCGATTTTAGTCCTCGTTCCCCGCCATTATAGCCATCTGTCTGGGAGCCCCTTCCACGCAGCGTTATGCATATAGGTAATGCATGTAAACGATATTGCTTCACTCAACTGTCAGAGGGCATTAAATAATATTTTACGCTGGAGAGGCGGTGGGCGTCAACATCATGGCCTGTGACATTTCTGACTGCAGGCTGCCTGGGAATCCCAAAAAAGCCGCACCATGGAAACTTCACAGAATGGCAGACCGATAGACAAGCAGACATGGATGTCATGTGCAGAATTATGCAACACAAGCGGTATTTAATATTTTAAGCAAACTAAAATGCTCTGCCAGCTCTTGGCAACATCCTCCACATTGAGCATTAAGCATGTGCATAAATAGTGGCATACTTTGTGGCGCTTCGACTGCAAGTTTTTATAAGGTTTGACTACATCTGGCAGCCTAGACCCAGTTTTAGGTTTGTGGTCTATTGGGAATGACGTCTCTGCATAATTATTTTGGTTTTGATTTTCTTGACATTGACACAGCTTTTGACCGCAGGAAAGAAGGGATTCAATTAAGTTATTTTACATTATTTTAAATTTAAAGGGAAATATATATACACGCTGATTGCAATTGCATGCAATTCTATGTCATAATACAATAATTTTTTTTAACAATCTTTTTATCTTTTCCTTAGAATGTGTAATAATTTAATTACCCCAAAAATCTATAAGTTCATTTGGAGTCAAAAAATATAACTTTTTTTAATTATTACTTCTTTCGATTTGCGATTTTGATAGTGTACACAAATTTTTAAACATTAACATTGTAATTTTTTATTGGTGATCGTTAACTCCCATTATACTTGGTTAAAGGTTTTTTCATTTCTCTGTGAGTGAGGTAACTTATATCGTTCCATAAGTCAAAATATTCATCAGCAATTTGATAGTTGACTTACAAAAAATGCATTGCGAAAAACAAACTCTTAGATATGAAATTTGAGAAGTTTGCTTGACCTTCTTTGCCCATTCCATGTTGGGCAAACAAAAGCTTTGTCCCTTTTGGGGAAGTTTTACCTGCTGACGACTTGAACGTGTCCAAAATGCGGGCTTCAATAATTTGAGGTGAGTTTATTATGCAGATAAACAAAATGGGCGCCATCAGAGTTTTGTTGACTCAGCGTTTAGTTTTGCCCTCACACACATGGACATTGCCGAGAGCCTTTGGGTCATGGTCAACAATTGCCGGCAATCATCTAGGCAGTTACCTTATTACAACAACAGTGAAGGGGAAATGGAGTGGCCGGGGTAACTTGGCCATAACGGGAGTTATCTGACTGTAAATACATAATCTGCTGGCTGGCCCAAAGTGAACCCGTCGACGTTGCAGCTTTCTTGTTCCCAAAAGATTTCAGCCGGCTTGTGCACCTTGAATACGGATTTACTTTTATTGCTACAGCTTCCTGTTGCCCACTTTTGTTCACTGTAAAAAACGTATGAGCTTATGAAATTTATAGGTATTTTTAAGTAATGTAAAACTTTACCTTTTTCAATTATTTAACTTATTTTAATGTATGTTTAATTTTTAAATTAAATCTGACGAATTTATGTATTTTTAATTATTACTTTAATATAAATTTAAATTATTAAAGGAACTATTTCAATCACGTTTATTTTATTTTTATTTAATTCTATTATGTCTATAAAAATGGTATAAAAAATATTTATATTTTATTTGTAATTTCTCCTGGATAAACAGCAACCAATTTTTCCTGAATTTTTGTTAGTGTCTTCTCATTCTCCTCTGTTTTGTTTGTGGGTTCCGCTTTTAGGGTTAAGCAGGTGCTTTATAAACCAAGCATCCAGGTGGGCGGCCTCTAACGGTAAATAAGGACAAATACCACGTAATGGGCAACCTGTGCGTGGCTGAAGCCCCATCGAGAAAAAACTAGAGGGGCAGAATCCCTTAACTCCCGCTTTTGGGGTGATGAAGGCGAAAGATGTTGGTAGGCTGTAAAATTTTCACTCTTCAAATGTGTCCCCTAAGCGCAATCAAAAGATCCTTGTCCCTCACATTGGTTTTGTTTTTGAGGTGAAGATGGGAGCTTGTCGCGTTGATATTGTTTCCATATTCATAATTACTTAAGCGGTGTTGCAATGTCAAGACTGCCGACATCTTTAGTGGGTCGTGAAATATTTATTAAGTGCCCGGAGTGGAGTTGTGAAATACTTTTCCCATAAATCTGATGTTATTGCGCTGCCTTAGATTTCGAATTCTCAGCAAAGTTATTATGGCTTATTAAAGTCTAAACTTTTTGATAGTTTCGGCTTTGTAAAAGCGGGGATTTCAGAGGCGATTAGCTTGTGTGTTGAAATTTTGAAATTAAATGAAACTTTAAAGATTTTAATAACTTCAAATGTAATTAGTTTGAGTTTTAGTGTTTGTGTTTTAGAGGCGTCTTAAATATAAATCTGTAAACAACATTTATACAGAAAAAATCATTTATTTATCAGTTTATTCGGTGCATATATTTTTCATGTGTTCAATTCAAAAGAATATTCCCGGAATATACAAAACATCTATCAATTTTTAATTTAAAAAAACACATTTGACACATAAATACATAGAATATCAAAAATATTAAGAAAATATACAAAAATTATTATTTTTATGCTTAAAAAGATTTAAATCCCCACAAGTTCAAATATCCAATTCAACTAGTCAAATATCAACTACAACTCACCACAAAGCAAATACGTATTGCCTTACATAATATACGCCAGCACAACGGCAATAGCTAAAGGCCACCAAAATCACATAATTCGCACAAAGCACACATGGACACACTTAAACACACGTGAAAGACAAACAGAAAACATGGAGAAAGTAGAGGGAAAAGCCCGGCCGACATATTGAAATTCATAACTACATACAAAAACCAATTACAATATCAATTTAAAAGGGATTAAAATGGCCCGACCCGAGGCTTAAGCCTCTCCTGGTGCCACTCCTGACGACCATGGTCAAAATGCGGCACACTTTGCGGCGTATTTAAGATTTGTTCCCTTGTGAAATTTGTGAAATTGCAAATTGTATTTGCCTGAGCCGTGGAGAGCCCAAGCCATGGAACCAAAACTTTTAAATGAATTTCTGAGCTAGCAGATTTTCATAATAAATAACGGGTCTTACACGGCCATAATCAGGCATAATGCCATTGTGTAATGTTAAATATATGTATTTTGTGTATTTTATTGACTTAAGCCAGGTCGAAATTCTCAACAAGTGGAAATCTCTTAGCCGACTCGTTGTGTATTTTTGCATAATTTATCTTGTTTGCTTCTTAAATCAAAAATGTTGTACACAAAAGTCCGCATTTAATGCTCCAGTAGTATTGACGGCATTGGATCAGCCAAGGATGCAATTTGGCTAAGTAAAGATGAAGATAGAGTGCAGTCTGATGGTGTGCAAATAGACTGAGAACGTTAACTGCAAACGAGGCTAGGCAGCTCGAGTACATTAAATTTAAACGCACGACTAAGCGATTTAATTTGGAAAGTGGCAAAAAATTTGGCCAATCTTTCATCGTCCAAGGAACGCTTCCTGCTCCGCCTTGTCTTTGTCCATTCATCGATTCGGTCATCCATCATGTCTATCAATGCCTGGGCCTTAGGCATGAGACAGATAAATCAGTTAAGCATCGACATGTCAAGTTAACAGGCGATTACAAGGGCTTTACCTGACCAAATATGTAGGAGAAAACCATTGCAAAAGGTCAGGAGTGTTTAATGCGATGTTTTTAGTAATAACCACAACAAAATAATTTAAAATTTAAAAGTTTCATCTAATTTTATTGTATGAGAACTGTCGAGGAAGATGTCGTTAACAAGTGTATAAATGTAAATAACTTAAGATGGGAAAGATAAATACATTTAACTTAAACAATTTTAATAAAATTAAATGTAGTAATGCAACTTAACAGATAATTTTTTGATATAAAAAGTTGTTTTAAATCTTAAATACCTACAATTGAATTAAAGATAATTATTAAATGAAATGAATACTATTAGAAACGATTTTATTTCCATAAATTGTCCTAATCAATTGATAGAAGTTAAATCATTTCTGACTAACATTCTTAATCAACTACTTATGTACTCTGGTAAAATAAAGACCTTAAAGCCCAATTAACTTAACCAGATTTCGGTGTCCAGAAACGAGGCCAATGCATCAAATTAACTGGCGATTACAAACGGCTTTCGACGCGTGTACAAGCGACATATATACTCGGATATAAGATAACCAATCGAGTGAAGGTGACGCAACAAGCAAATGACAATTGAAAGGATAACAAGAAGGACAAGAAGAACTGAGACCCGCAGACCTCAGCTTGTTGATAAAAGAAATTAAACACACAGCGTAAAAAAAAGAGGAGAGGCAGAAATAAAGGCAAGTTAAGCCCGCAAGACAATTGACAATGGGTGGGCTTTTGTGGGCCTGGAAATGGTTAAAAAGGAGGGGGGGGCGTTCTTTGGCTGGGGATCTGTGGCATTTGTCTCGACTGTCTTGTTGACATGACGTTGCGCGAATTGTGCGCCAGGATTGTTGTGCCTTCTGTATGCTGTGTTTTTGGTTTTGCCAGTCGTCTGCCTACAAAGTGAGCAACACGCGCCGATGATTATGTTGCCGCTGAAAACAACAACAACCATAGGAACAGCAAAAGCAACAGCAACAGCAGCAACAGTGACGCGAGCAACAGCAACACCAGCAACACCAGCAACATCAGCAACAGCAACAGACTTCTCCGAAAACGACTTCTCCGAAAACGAAGTCGTTTTCGGACTTCAGATGGCGGCAAATGTTTTGTGGCACGAAGCTTTTCATTGACTAAAAGCGACGCATGCGCTGTCTGAGTTTAACCAACTTAGACTCCGATTTAATTTCAGTCCTCCGTCTTCAGTTTCAGTTCGTTTTTGTCACTCGTGCGTGCTAGATGGGCACACGCGGCGTATGAGTACTATCAGTTGGTCTCCCAAGACTGTTTTATTGAATTTTGGCGCAAGAAGGCAAAAAAGCCGGCTAAAGTGTCCCTCGTGGGTGTGTGTACGTGTGCTACCGGAAATACTTTGAGCAATCGAAAGGCAAAAAAAGAAACCGAAACAAAAGCCTAAGCAAATTAACTTGGCCCATTCGTTATATTGCGAGTATTGTTCTAGTGGTTATTATGTTTGGTTTTTGCCCAGCCCCCCTGCCAGCGAGAAAGTAGGTTAATTGACGTGTGTTGTGGGCGTATATCTACAGGAAAAATAATAAAAATACACAAGTACAAGAAACAAATACAAGTGAAGTGGTCAATTGCCACAGCCAGAGGGCTCTGAACTTTCGATAAAATAAAAGTGTGAGATAATTTAAGGTATGTGAAATTTAATTCTTTGCATTGAATATTATATTTTAAATGAATCCAAAAAATGTTAGCCAAGTAAACATGATAATGGTCTTTTAAGCAACTCTTCAACTTAATGCTTTTTGCATAGGCTTGAAATAAATTTTCATAATATGACAATAAAAGAGGTTTCAATGCATTAGCAAATGTCTATTGTTTTTAGTTGAACGAATTTGTGTGCTGATAATTTGTTTTCTGTTGGCTAATTTTAATTAGTTTCTGATATAGGCGAGCAAAATGCTACATTTGTGTCAATGAACTGGCAGATAGTTGATTCGATTAACAGGATGTATGGTTTTAAAATCGGCATGAAAAGTGACTGTGAAAATTATATTAAAAGTAGATTAATTTTTCTTTAGAAAACTAAAAACCATAAATTTGTCATTATAATTTAATATGATTTATGGTACACCATTACATCTTTATCTGTTGTCTATTTACTTATAATTTGTAATTTTGATTATCTATTTAATTAAATTTCAGTTATTTTAATTACTGTTATGAGTCCATTACAAATCTTTCATTAACTCCATTATAAGCCAAATAAAATTAAAATGGTACAATGCTTTTATTCCAATTTTTTTTGTTAATTAAAGAACAGTATGACTTTCCTAATTACCCTTTAAAACCAAATGAAATTTTTGTATATTGTCGCATAGTCACTGCAGCAAACTCCAAATAAAAATGAACAATATAATACAAACGGGAATCCCATTGGATAACCAGAAATAAAACATATGCAAAATAAACTTCAAACAAATGTTGACGCTCAGAGTTTTGGGCCATCAAAACAGCACAAAAAAAGGCTAAAACCAGTAAAAAAATTAAAATAAACAAAGTGAACAACGTGGGGCGGTGCTTCATGGGTCGCTTGCGTTTCTGTGCCTTAAAGGCAACTTTGTTGCACAAATATATTAATTTTTTTTCAACCAAATGTGTGTGTGCGCTGTGTGTCAAATTTAAAAGCATTCTTGCCAGTTGCCTTTTGGACTGGCGATGTCCTGGCAGCTGCCTCTTTGTTTTATTATTTTGCGGAAGCTGCGAACCAACATTTATAAAAAGGTTTTCCTTGCTCGTCCTTCTACGTGAGCCACACACACACAGCCACAACAAACACACCCACCAAAGGACGCACATTGCTCTGCATTACCGTTATTTTATGACGGAATTACATTTAAGCAGATTTTTTTCCGCAGGATTCCCGCTCCCTTCAACCGAACTGGAAAAAAGGGCTGCCAAAAAAAAAAAAACAAAAATGGGAGACCGAGGAAATTTAAATATTTTCTTTTACGCTGTGCTTCTCATTTGTCCGTCTCGCTAAAATTTATGACCAACAAAATTGGAATATGCCCCAAGACAACAGCAGCAACAATAAAGCCAAAAGTTCAATTCGATTGCCATAAAAAAAAATTCTTTGCGTCTTTTACTACCAACGCTTTCGGAAAAACCTTGTTATACGACATGAGTGAATTTATAAATTTAACCAAGAAATGTTTTATAATGTGCTACCAATATATTTTCGTTAAAAATCAATGATGTCTTAAAGATTTTTTAACAAGCTAAATACCTGAAGAAATAATACAATAATTTATTCTTCTTTATTCTTTTATTGATAAAAAGTTGCTGGTTAAGAAACTTTGTTATTCTAGCTTTGTACAAATTGTATGTCGCGTTGTATATCATTTCACCATCTAATTCAACTCCAAGAGTAAGACTTGGAAACCATAAACCACGTTCTTTTTAAATTTCCCCCCACTTCTAAGCCACATATATCATTAATTGAAATTTAATACAATTACCAGGCGAATGTGTGGAAAGCCAAGTAAAAGTCGGCAGGCAAAACACACATAAATTCAAGCCATACACACGTTCGCTGCTGGGAAGGCGAGAGAGATTCCTTGCCAAGTAAGTGACTCAATAAATAAATTTACTTGCCAACTTTTTGCCTTGTTGTTGTGGCCTTGGGGGACTGATTGTTGCCTTCTCAAGGTAGATTTCTTTCGGCAAGCTCTCTGCGTCGAAAGATCTGAGAAATACTTTGGCCGTAATAAACAACACTTGATCGAGGGCAGGGGCATAAAGTTAAGTGTGCTTTACTGGGGCAAGTGGAATAAATTTCAAGAATTTAACTAGATAAATGAGAGTAAGCTAAAACATTTTTCTTAGCCCTCTTAGTCTTTTATATAACAGAAAATGTGTGATCCTTATTTTTTCCGAAATATATAGATTACTATTTAGGGTTTATTTATGTTTTAAAAACTTTAAATAGCAAAAAAATAGCTTAAATAGCTCTTAATGAAATTCAGGTTTGAATGAAGGTAAATGTATAATTTAATCTTAAAAGCAGACTGAAGTATTTAAAAATTATTTTCCCCACTACGATGTTTAGTTTCTAACCAATTAGATATTTAATTAAAACAATAAATATGGTTTTAGAATCGTTTTTAAGGGTATTTATACTTCGCTTGTCAAAAAAAGCTTTTATTTAATTCCCAGACTTTTCACTTATTTTTTATGAGCCACTTTAACCAGTGAATTATACCAAGCTATGTATTATGATCTAACTAAGCTAGGGTCGTAAAACAGAATCCTCAAGAACGCGAACTTGAATTTGCACAGCATTAGGGAACAGACAAAAAAACGAAAAGTAGCTCGAGCATTTATTAAGTAAGTGAGCTATTCAAAATCAAAGCAGCGGAAAAATCCGCGACGCCGTGGGACGGTGGTGTGGCTGAATGTGTCGCCCGATTGTCAGGCGAATGTCAAGCTCAAGCTGCAGGCGACATTTAGCTTGTCTCACGTCTCATTTCGGCCCCTTTCCCGCACTTCCCGCAGATTTTCCCAGGCACCAGGCACTTTCACCTGCACCTGCAACATCGTGCAGACATTTATGGCACCAGATGCCGCCGGCAGCAGGCAAATGCCTTGCCATTCCTGAGTGGCATTGCTATGGCATTTCCATAGCATTTCCGTGGCGCGTTTGCCAGGGCGTTGAAAGCGCATTAGCTTTGTCATTTATCGTTGCATTACTATCCGCCATCTTTGTTGCCAATTTTAAAGGACAGAGAGCTACGAATGTTTAAAGCGCACACAGTCAGGGTTCAGAGTCTAGAAGTTTAAACTTAAAGCTAACTTTGGCTTGACTTGAATTTCCAAAAGCCTATGTCTCGGTGGCATTTTATCCTCAAAAAGATTATTACTTACAGTGGTGTGTGCTAAATTAAATATTTAAGGGATTGAAGAGTTTATATTAAATTGATATCGTACGCTTATTTCGAAACAAAATCTTATTTAGTGTGTTAATAAATACTTCCTTAATTTTTATATTCTTACTACAAAGAGAAATAGACCAACTTGTTTTTTATTCGGAATTTTCCTGTTGATGATGTGTGCTGGCATATTTTGCTTATCAAAGTGCCACTGACAGACAGGCGACCGAACAGAATGTCGGTTTTGGTCTCCGCAAAATGTCAAGGTTCCACATGCTTCGTTAGGTGCATTTTCATTATTTATTAGGGCAATTGGCCTGTAGCCTAGCCCAGCCTTAATTAAAGGCTTGAATTTTCCATTTTCTGACATTCTAATATATTTTATATGTCATTCCCTTCGGCTTTACACCTGTCGCCTCTTTGTGAATAAAAAGTGTGAACAATTTTATTGTGTGGAAAATTTGCTTGCTTACATGAGACGCGGTGGGTGGGCAGGAAAAAAAAAGCTCGTGCATAATTTAAAAATGCCCGCATCACTCATACGCAGCGTTGCACACTCCTTGTGGCCGGGATATACCGTGCCAGGCGGCCAAGGTAACAATGAAAAGGTCGCATTTTTGCCGTAGTCAGAGTTTGTCTGCCTCTTTGTTAGCTTTCGGTTTTCCATTTTTAGAAAGTCATTGTTTGACTTAAACACTTTTTTTTTTGTAGACCTGCTAAGTCGAGTCAGAAATTATAGAAATTTTTGGCACAAAGTTTTTGATTTAATTGTCGAACCTTAAAATTAAAAATACTCAAATCAACTATAAATATTTTTTGTGAAAGTTTTTGAATATTTAAGAGCACACCGCAGTTTGGCCAACTAATCCGGCTGAAAATTCTTAAATCTTCTTTTTGGACAAAGTCCAAATCCTTTTCAATTGCCAGCGAATCCCCGAGTACCGCCTGACAATTAAAGCGCCCCGAAAAAGGGGCAATATGAGTGGTTAGAGCGAGAACCCTACTTGAATGCAGCTAACCATGAAAGCGCGTTAAAAAAGCATTGCATGCACATGGACGTTTTGTAGCCCCCCAGAAACCTACTGCCCCATCGAATATGCATGTAAAACAGTGCACAGCAGGCAGCGTGGAGCAGGAGCAGCTCAACAATTTCGCCTGCGGACAAGGTCCGGCTAAAAATCGAGAAAAAATATAAATCTTAAATGCCTTGACATGTGTTCACCGAAAAAAGCTGAAGCTTATAAAAAAATCAAGAGGCAAAGGTAAAGTGAAACTTCAAATACTCTTGCAGATTATATGGCAGCTTAGTTTGACAAAAAAACAAATGTATGAGCTTAAAGACAGTATTAACATGTTCGTTTTGTGGTTTGTATAATCATGTTATCAATGTGCCTTGCAAATTCAGCTTTTATTTTTATTTATTTATTTAAATAAATACTATAAATATCAAAACATTATTTTGGTTGAATATATTGTTTGATTTAGTAAAACGTTATTTTCATCATTTTTGGAAAAAATTTTCAGCGCCTATTATTCTTAAAGCAAATGGTTTCAATAACAACAATTTGTGTTATTTGATTTGGATATTGATCAATACGTGTTTCAAATATATTTATTAAGAGAGAAAAGTGGAATACTTCAAACTAAAATTGGCCCACCCATTGAAAAGCTACAGAAAAAAGTTAAACAACAGCCAAGAGCACTTTTTCGCTATGCGATTTCTGTGAAAATCCTGACTCAATGGGTGGGTGAGTGGGTGGA